AGGCTTGGAGCATCCCCAGGCAAATTCCTCCCCACTGCTCCATGCCTCAGTTTTCCCATCTATACAAGGGTCACCGCATGGTTGGGCGCCACGGCAACAAGCACTTGTGGGCAGAGGACTGCCACTGGATGTCCCCACAGCGGTGGCACCTGGCCCTGGGCTCTAGGGCACCTGGATCTGCAGGTCCTCATCCTCATCGGGGTCGCTGGTGCCATCCCCGGTGTCATCGGGGCCAAAGCGGGTGCTGCGCATCTTGCCGAAAAGCGGGGTGCTCTGCTGCCGCCGCAGCCTGCCAAGGGAGAGCTGCCAGGGTGGGGGGCAGTGGGGCACAGCCCTGGGGGGATGCCAAAGCCAAGCCTGTCCCCCCAGACCCCTACAGCATGGCTGCACTGTGATGGGACCCCGTTTCTGCAGCTCCCACCAAGCTCTGGGTGCAGGATCAGTCCCCCCATCCCAGGGCCAACCCTCTGAAGCACGGCTGGGGAGCCCCGGATGATGCTCAGCACAAGCAGGGCACCAGCTAAAACCCTTTGGGGCTGGACACTGCCATGCTGGGCATCTTGGACCCAGCTGAGAGTGCAGAGCAGGGAGTTGCTCTTCTAAAACAGGGATCCCCCCCAAAAACCCCAGGAGTCCCCATTCCTGGGAGCCTGTGGTGGTTTTAGCTCCTCACTCACCCTTGCCTGAAAATTCATCAATGAAAATTTATGAAGCAAATTTGAAATCAAAAGGCCCAGGACCTGGTCAGATCCAACCAGTGTGCTGCATTTTACTGGAAAGCATGAATTATTTAAGGGCAAGCATGCAGGGAGGCTGGAGCGGGGGAAGACGAAGCCTCCATTATTCCTCTATGATTTAATGAAGATGTCCCAATAAAATAAAGGAAGATTATAAACACAACCCCCCCAGTGCCTCCCAGAGATGCAGCATCAATCTCTCATGGCCATTTCAGCTATTCACTGCTGGAGAGGCGAAGCGAGGCCAGGGAAATTTTTTAAGGGCAATAAAACCCACCTCCCACCTCCCCAAACTGGCATGGGATGCTTGGAGGCTGCCCTGGCCCTGGATACCAGTGGCTGAAAGCCCAAGCGGCATGAAACTGGGCTGTACTGGTCTGTGGGCAGCCTTGTGCTGGTTTAACTGGGGGGTGAATGCCATCCAGCTTGCAGCAGGGTGAAGGCTGCTCCAAGGATGGCTGCACACCCTCCAAGGATGTTGGAGGCACTCTGGCCACTCTTAGCCCAGGGCTCAACCAGGGAGATACCGGTTGAGGGATGGTGGCAAGAAGAATGTCATCCCACCCTTGGGTCCTTGCTGGTCCCCACCATGGCCCCCCTCGTCCCCTGCTCACCGGGACTGCAGATGCTCTATCTGCACCTGGAAGCTCTCACTCTGCTCTGTCTGCTCGTCCAGCGACCGCTGCAGCTTCCGTGTCTGGTTGTGGGCCTCATCCAGCTGCAGAATAGGATGGGATGGGGCTGCCAGCAGCTGCAGAGGGGGAGTGGAGCTGCCCACCCTGACCCCCTCCACCAGCACAAGCTTCCCCACCTCGTCCTCAGCTTGGGCCAGCTCCTTCTTCAGCTCCTCCACCCTCAGACGCAGCTTCTTCACCTCGCCCTCATGCTGCTCCACGCGGCGGTTGGCATGAGCCAGCTCAGCCATCTTCTCCTGGTACTGCTTCTTCAGCTTGGTGTGGATGTGCTTCAGGTCAGCCAGCTCCTGCGGTGGGCACAGGGTGTGGAGCTGAGCAGGTGAGAGCCACCCCCACTGCCAGGTTTCCCCTTCTCCCTCCCCAGGGACCTCTCCCACCACCCCACCCCATGATGGAGGAGCTGATGGAGCAAGAACAGGGTCACCACCATACCCTAGATGAAGGGTGGTGGCAGAGTTTGGGCTTGAGGACGTCCTGGGGGACACTGAGTCACCATTGAAGAGACAGGGTCACCCAGGGAGGGGGTGGCGGGGCATGGGACCATCCCCATGACACCTTGTTCTTCTCAAAGAGCTCGGCCTGGATGGTTTTGAGGTCGGTGTCCAGGGCACTGGCCGTCTGGCGCCGCTTGCGAGCCAGCACCTCCTCCAGGTCCTCGATTTGTGCCCGCAGCTTCTTGTTCTCCCGCTCCAGGTTGAGCTTCTCTGTCTCCAGCCGCTCCCGCCGGCCCCACTCGGCTGCGTTCTCCGCCTGCAGCCGCTCCATCTGGGACAACAACATGGGGTGGCTGGGGGGCAGCAGAGACCACCCTCACCACTCCCTTTGCCCCCCACATTGGGGTTCAGCCTCACCTCTGAGCGCAGCTCGGCCAGCTTCTTGTCCATGCTGGAGCGAGCGCCCAGCTCGTCCTCCAGGTCCTCGGAGATGCGCCCCAGCTCGTCCTGGTGGATCTCCTTCAGGATATTGAGCTGTGGGGGGGGACACAGCACCCAAGGCGGGTAGCAAGCACCTATCTTGTGCCACCCAAGCTTGCACCCATCTACCGAACCTCTGTGGACAGACCAACTGGCTCAATAGCACTAATTAGGACCCTTAATAAGCACCCTGGAACTGTGGAGGTGGCTGTGGGTCACCAGGTCCAACCACCAGGACGTGCCACCTGCCAGGGGCAGGCCACCCCCCGGGGCACACCTGGTACCCAGGCACCTCGCTCACCTGCTTCATCACCTCCTGCTTGTTCTTGTTGAGCTCCTCATACTTGATCTTCCACTGGCTGAGCTCACCCTCCAGCTTCTCGATGCTCTTGCTGAGTGCCAGCTTGTCCCTGGGGAGAGGCAATGCTGGTGACAGCTGGCAGGACCCCATGGAACACCCCATCCCAGTGGGGATGGGGCTGGGCTCGGCTGGCACTCCTAAGCACTCACTCCCTCTCCTTGAGCAGCACTTTTTGGGACTCATCCAGCCTCAGCTTCAGGGCGGTGACTTTGGTGGCATCCTCCTCCATGATGCTGACGTCCTCCCAGAGCAGGCGGCTTCGCTCCTGGCGGGCGAAGGAGGCCCGGGGCCCCCGCTGCTCCCAGCTCTCATCCTGCTTGCTCGTCAACATGTTTTCCATCAGCTCCAGCTCCTGCGGCACCGTGGGTGGCCCAGCACAGGGGACAGGGAGTCACCCACTGGTGAGGGGGCAGCCCTGGCTTCCCATCCCCTACAGCACCAGCCTTCACCCCACAACCAAGAGCATCCCTCCAGCCAAACCCTGGTCCCCAGGGACCCCTCGAGGCTGATAGAGGGACCCGTCCTCCCAGGGAAGCTCCCATATACCACCATGCTCTGCTGCCAGCTTCCTGCCTCGCTGGATATTTGGGATGAGATAATACCAATTTATTACATTGACCTCGCCATGACCACCACGTGGGCAATCTTCTACCAGGCTCTGTGAAGCATGCGGTAAATCAGCTGGAGGAGTTTTCTGGAGATGGGACATCCCCAGGGACCAAGCAGGGAGCCCACGGGGGATGCTCAGATTAGGCTCAGATTTGCCACTCAGCAGCAGTGCCATCAGGTGGACTGAAATGGCATGGCGTGGCACCCCGAGCGGTGACTTCTGCATCGTGACAGAGCAGATGGCAGCAGAGAGGGAACGGTTGGAAGAGCTGGGAGCATCCCTGGGGTGGCTCTGGTGTCCTCTCCTTCCTCCTCCTCCTCCTCCCTTCAGCACAGACCTCTGCCAGAAGCCTGTACGGACACCCTGGCATTTGAGACATCACTGGGAGATGCCACCAGCACTGCTGAAGCCGCTGTCCCTTGTACCAGCACACCAACTTTTGCCTAATGCCTCGAAAAGGAAAGCCCCGAGAAAGTGACCAGAGCCAGTACCAAGGTGATCTCACCGCACAGGGCTATAGGGATCCTGGACTCTCCCATGAAACTGCTCTGAGAGGGGTCTGACCCCCTCAGCGCTGTTCCAAGAGGGGTCTGACTGCCCCATGCTGCTCTAAGCGGTCTGACCCCCAAGGCTGCTTCAAGATGGGCTTGTCCCCCCATGCTGCTCTGAGAGGGGTCTGACCCCATGACACTACTCTAAGAGGGGTCTGACTGCCAAGGCTACTCCGAGGGGGTCTGACTCCATCATGCTGCTCCAAGAGGGCCCAAAATATTGCTCCAAGAAGGGACTGACTCCCCACATTGCTCCAAGGGGGTTCTGACCCCATGACACTGCTCTGAGAGAGGTGTGACCCCCCTGTACTGCTCTGAGAGGGGTCTGCCCCCCAATGCTGCCTGCTTTGGGGGGGGCAGGGAGTGACCCCAGGGGCACCGGCAGGCAGTGGTGATTTGGGGGAACACACAGGCAGCTGCTGGGGGTGAGGAGCGCCCCCCA